ACTGTCTTGAAATGCTGTTACGCTATTTTCTACCTAGTAATCAGGGATTGGTGTAGGATTTCTGGTGTATTTACAATGACGTAATTGCCGAATTACATTATGTGTATATGAGTAAGGAAAGTTTCAGAGGAGCGCGTTCCTGTAAATTCCCGATGTTAATATCAAAACTTAGTTGGACCTAGTTAATGACAGCCCACGACTGTGATATTTCGTGTTTTGGTTTCGAATTATGAACAATTAAACATATTAAAAAATGCTTATATGTGTAAATTGATACAAAGACACCGAGAGAACTTCAAAAACACAGTATTAGAACATCATAGTTCATTAATAACTTGATATTTAGAGGAATAATCTAATGCGCCAATAAACGACAATGTACATTTCCCCACTTTCATTTTTTGGACTGCGTTGGGTTCATCATGAGCTACAGCACATGAAGGCACACTCATTAGTCTATCTACCTATAATGTGCGCGTCTAATTTACTATACGATGTGTATACCATTATCTGGGATTAAAGCTTGTATATCCCCCGGGCAGGTATTCTAATATCACCTCCATATTAATATAACATGATAGATGTAGACAAAGATCACTTACTGTCCGGGAATGTTTCGTCTAGATACTCCACTATTTTCTCTGATTCGACAATAATCTTGTCACCATGCCCTAGTGTTGGCACCTGGCCCTTTTTGTTCAATTTCATATACCAAGGTGATATCCCATGACCCTTTGCGATACTGACCGTCTTCTTCGTGTATGGCAGACCCTTTTCCGCAAGTGCCATACGAACCTGGTTATTGGGAAATAATTTAATTATTTTGTTATAAAAAAATATGGTATATGTTTTATTTTCGCCGAATACGCGTATATGTAGGTGCCCGTATCTCCTGTAAGTTGCGGGCACTCGACAGCCAGCTGGCGTGTGTGTACTTTTTGTACGACCCAAACGAAGTACACACCTCGAATGAAGACGCGCCATGACACACGGTGCGCAGGTTGTTGTTACTTCTATTGAATGATTAACATTTTTAGTTTCATCCGACCAGATGCTCGCATATGTTGTGTTCCTAGCTCTATGTTTATCACTGGGCGGTGTTGGCGGTATTCACAAGACTTACTGCCGTGAACTCTCGACACACGATACCCTACAATATGGATGAAATAATTAAAACTTTCCCAGTGGATGGGTTATCAACTTGAAAACACGCGAACCAGAGTTTATATGTCACGTTTTTTTTCTCATGAGAATTCAAGACAGACAAACACATCATCTCGCTCAGATGTATGTTCTATCTAGTTCAAGGTCCATTCTCTAGTCTAGTTATTTTAGTCAGTTTCCATGTTGATGATTTAATTGTCTAAAAAAGTGGGCATACTGTCCTGAGCGTTCTAGACGGCACAAACAGATGCAGTTTGGTAGCTGTTTTGAAACATTAGACACTTGCGAAATATAGACACCCCCCCTATAATATCCGGGTACCTGCCTTTAATATACGTAAAGAGGTGTGTTGTATTTAAACGAAAATCGGTATTTATAGGATCACTTGCCAACATTTCCCAACAGCTAGGGTTGTGCACGCCTCTATCATTTGTTCCGGTCGAGTCGCCCGAGGCCCTCAAAGTAGCACTATTCGGTGAGTATCAATACTGCCACCGCACGCGCGTACTCGAAGACGGACGGACACTCACTTATGTTTATTAATGGCTTGCTCTGCATTAAATTAAATTTTATTTTATTTATTTATATAAATCTGGCCAGTGCAATATTCAAAAAATGTTTCGTATTTCTCATTATCAATATAAATTTGTTCTTTTCTGTCAAATTTGTAAAATAATTTATTTGCTTTCCGACTTTTTCATTATAATGTATTATATTATTATATAAAATTGTATTCGTCTTCTACTTCATTTCTTGAGCAAACAACGTACAATGAAATTCGGACTATCGAATATTCTGCATATCGGGACTTCGGATATCGGTTCTCTTGTCAGCGTCTTGTAACGCTGCCATGTACGTGTACGTGCTGGTGGCATATTTCAGTGCATTAACGCAAAACTCCGTGTCACGGAACCCCAAATTGAATGCTGCTGTAAACAAGCACATTGACCGGGTGTCAGTGATTGAAACAAGCCATACTAAATTTGTCACAGATGGCTGACTGGGAATACGAAAACTGTTGTGTGCGGCGGCGACTACAGTCGACTCGGGACCATACAATCGTACTTTCGTGCCGCGCATGTCTGCCGCGTGTAAGTTAAGTCGTCCGTAGAAACGGTTGTCTATCATTACACACACGCACACACACAAAAATGAAAGTCCTTGGCCTGGGCCGAGCTGAACCCAACCCATGGGAGTACGTAGTGCAGTTTTCAATGCGGAGGTTAAAAGTTCACTCCCATTCAGTGTATAGTATAGTCCATATAGCTAATATAGTACATACACGCACCGACTACTAGTATTATGAAAGTGATTCCGATTAACTGAAAATAATACCTAGATCCAGATGAGTACATACACTAAATACACACAATGTCTATCACACGTCCCCGCATGCAAGAGTTTCGCTTCCGGTGAAAGCTCGTTGATCTTACCCGTTCTTTGGTGAATCAACTGTACAAATGACATAACAAAAAGTATGATGAACGCACTACCTACCCGCTGAGAGAAAAACGAAGGCTCGAAGTGATAAAGTACTATGTCAGACATGACTGGTGTAATTCAAAGTCGACAGAGGAACGATCAGTAGGTTTTACTGTGCCGGAGAACGCACGGCAATGATCGGAAATACAGCGACACACAGATGTATATATACACACGGGAGGTCACTGTTGGGTCACGCACGGGTTACCTCTGAACTTTCACTCGCGCTGGAGAAAACAAATATCAGCAAACACAGAAGAAAGATGCGATGTCACGTAAACAAAATAAAATAAAATTTAGCAATTTGACATAAAACACTCTGAGTCTACATCAAGCATATCGGTCATGAACTTGGTGGGCGGGCCAATAAGTATATTAAACTATTAAACTAAACATTTGTTTCAATATAAAAATTAAAAAAAAAAACACTGACTAACAATGTCAAAACTTATTATCAAAGTATGTGTGAAAGGACTAATTTCACAATCAAAATACTAGTAGTATAGTCTAATGTTGCTATTTTTATTATATATATTTTACTTAATACATTACTATGTTTTCTATTTACATTTCAATGTTTACATTAACATTTTTCATTTCAAATTTTCAACTTCATTGATGTACATAACCAAAAAAAAATGTAATATTTTCTTTACGGTGTCAATAAAGCACTATTCTATTCTATTCTATTCTATTCTATTCTATTCTATTCTATTCTATTCTATTCTGTTACTTTTTTTCCAATGTCAGACGAGAGAATATTTAATCGCAAAATAAAAAGTATATTTTTTGTGATGTAATCAATTATAAAGGTTATTGTGCAAAATGGCAAAAAGAAAACAAAAAAAACAAAACAAAACAACAAAAACAAAAAACACCCGCCCGGGGAAACCGCCGCTACGTGGACAGTAACACACTGTATAGTTGCGGGAAATTTAATTATGCTCCGTTCTATATAACTTGATACACCACATACCGATACACTTCATCCTTGCCTCTCACTACATAACTGTACACCGTATTACAATAGCGTTGCACTTTCACCATTTACGCAGGTCCACTCACTACAATCTGACCCTTCACTACATTCTGTACACATCGTACATATGGCGTTGTTCGTTCACCTTGGCGAACAATAAGAAAAGCAGAGTAGCACGAGTTCGGCTAAATCGTGTTACGAGGGTGGTATCAGAAAACAATATAGAAGTCCAGAAAGACATGTTTTGCATTTTTTATTGATTATAATGAGAACATTCCGTATAAGGTCCATCATACTGAGCTTATTAAGTAAAATTGGTAATTGCATCGGGTTGATTAACAATCCGTGGTGGTAACAGTTTGCGGATATGGTGACCAGTAAAAAAAGGGAAAACCGATCAACTAACATAGTTATTAATAATGAAAAGTTGGTACAAGTAAAAAAAAAATCACGTACCTGCGCGCGACTGATCATGAATAAGGACAAGAGCCATGAAACTGAGATAAGAAGAATATAAATTCATTCATAAATGAAACAAAAAATTGTCAAGTGCTACATATGGTCTACTTCACTGTGTAGCTATTTTTAGAAGAACGAGAAGACACGAGTATTCCAGAATTAAAATAAGATAATCATCCAGATCAAATAAAAAATAAATGAAGACAAATATCGAGTTACTAGAGAAAAGATATAACAAAACAAAAACGAAAACGTGAAACATACACTGATGTCAACAATAACAACAATTATGTTGGTAACATAACAAGTTAGAATATTATTTTGAAGATTGCTAAACTTCGGGGGAAGAGAGTAAGATAAAAATAAGGGGATGATATTTCGGGGAATCGTCCAGGCATTGTGTGTAGTGATTTAACGATGTTTCCAAAAAGTCTAAAAAGATGGAAATTCATTGCAGCCAATAAGTTGACGGGAGAAGGTATCTGCTAATGGTTTAAGCATAGAAGGCAGAAGGTCCTTGTACCATCCATTGTTTAACTAATGATGTCTCCAGCTTCCGTGAAAATGGACGTGAATATGACGCCCCACCAGATTCTGAAACTAATGATAATTCATTTCTTCCGTGTGGTTATATATAATTATTTCCGTAAAACTGGAACAGATCCAACAGTAAATATGAATTAAGGTAGCAAGAAGGGTTTTGTGACATTTTCAATTAAAACATTCTCTGTCTGTTGTCTCGTTCAGAACAGTAATTTAGCTTATATATTTCAAAAGACTAAGTATAGAGGTGCAAGTTTACACAAACTGGACAGTCATTGTTTACATAATTATCACGTGACATCACAAATGGCGAACCTTGTAAAAATGACTAAGTCCGCGATTGCGAGAGCACACTGCGGAATTTCCTGGTGAAATGTACGTCATGCATTGTCCGTAATCAAGTCCATTGAAATGCGTCTCCGATCATCAAAAGATCTATTATTCCGATTTCATTGTAATTATAAGCAGAATCCTCAAATAATGCTAAAACGGGTCAAACCATGAAAAAGATAATACTGGCGGGAAAACTGTCCATACCATATAACCCATGACAGATTAGACGCTTGGGACCCAATTCCCGCGCGTGCGCAGATGACGACCATCCCGCTTTAATTAAAACTGAATTAACATTTGAATTGTACAGACATAGACACAAACAACAAATTGGCATGCGTATAAAATCCATTTATTTTTCACAAAAACGAAACGAAAAACGAAGTGCACGAGAACCAAAGTGCATACTATGTATATCACTTACGGTCCACCCATGTCCAAGAAATGACGGGCGGACACACTGACGCACAAAAGGAATTCGTCCGACCTTAACTAATCATATTGACAGTTTTTCTAACAATATAATCAATACGTTTAGATCTTAGTTCCAGAAACGAAAGCGTTAATAATTGAGAACAAGGCTGTGTTGATTTGGCAAATGGGAATAAATGAACCACACATTAAAGGGCGGTAGTCGTCTCACCACGCATGCGCGAGGTGTAAGGGCCTCATATAAATCAAGTGGCGACTTTGTACAAGTACAAGTACAAACTAGGACGTTACCAAGCTTTAATTAGGCTTTTTAGGTGATTGGAAGGTATCGAGGGAGTCACCGGCGGTAATTAGTGAAAGTCGCGCCCAGGTCAAATCTCATACTTGTGATTTCCATTAGAAGAGCGCATTGGATTGTGGGAAATCAATGTTTATTAACACAGCGCGACGACTGCCGCCCTTTAAGCTACGATTGCCAGAAACTTCTCAATACGTGACTGTCCCAGGCGTGGAGAAATTAGTTCAATTATGTCAAGTGATGGATACGGCCAGTGATCCAACTAACACAGATAACTACCATATGATGTTCACTTGGCCACTTCACGTTTATCTATACCGACTAGAAGTTACCCTGTACGGACCCCCATAGCACACAGTTCACTCAGTTGCACGTGCCAGCGAAATCATGACTACATTTTACGTTCTCATAGTCCATCGCAGCTGTCGAAAAGCAACAATGTCGTTCCATTGCTTTATTCAGATTGACAGTTACTATTAAATATACCAATGTCTCATTTGAGCTTTTTTGTTGTCAAGATACGCCAAATGAAAAAATATAAATATGTTTGTTTAATATTAAAATTATGTACTTGTATACAAAATGGACATCAAGTTCAAATTAAAAGGGACAACTGACTTCGTATGCAATTTATTATCACATTCTCTGTCTTAGTATATTACCGGTACTAATTTAAGTAAGCAAAAATCGGACCATCAAACTTAGTATGAACCACCCTACAACGCAATGTCGTGTTTCAGTCAATCAAATTATGATGTATGCGGGTATAACAGTCACTAATAAGAGGTTACGAGGATACCTCAAAGTATGCACAGAGACAGTACGGCATGAGTATCGACCGACGCGCAGCGGAGGTTGATGCGACAGCGTACTGTCTGAGTATATTATACATCTGTTCCTTCCAAGAATACATCATGGGAATGCCGACATCCAACATGTTTAGAACAGAATCAGCGAACTTCTTCGGCGGTCATACCCTGATGGCAGCCATGTATGTTTCTTTTTATTAGAGGGCGCTTACGCACGTAATCATTCCATACAGTTTTATAATAATAATTTATAAACACAACATTATGATAAATAATTTCATATTCACGCAAAATAAAAAAAAACTAAATCCTTTGTATCCATTTGAAATGATCGTGATTCGAAAGAGGATACACATATAGTAGTTCATCTGCGATAACAATTGAAGTTCTTATGGAGGTTGATGGTTGTAAAAATACTGGTTTATCTAAAATACACAAATTCGGATTTGGCAAGTTTCCATTATTTATATATATAAATTGGCTGAGATGCTGAATTGTTCGAAATCCGGACATCAAATTACGAACACCGAGTTACAAAAATGACAACGCCCATATTTTAGAAACCACGCCAACTTTTGCAAAAACACGCCCAAATTGTAACTCGATGTTCAATTGACAAAATCAATCGCCAAAAATACTGCGATTTCAAAAGCTTTGAGTCATGTATGTATAATAGTGGTGTGCTCCATGTGTCAATATCCCCCCCCCCGTGAGTAACTAAGGCAACTAAGGGAATGCAGTAATCATTCCTTCCAGACCCAAATTTTTTCTTCGACACACTTTGATGGGAAACATTCAACATTTCGCCGGCTTTTTATGAATGTGTAAAAAACACAGACAGCAACGACAGTAGCCCCGATTGCGAGTTCCCATGGTAATTTCTGTTTCATCTCCCCTATCCATGAAATACAAGTAGAAGGTTCGGATTTTTTGAAACACACACGACTTCTCATGTGTTCATAGTAAGATTCGATGTGAGGGCGCTGTCCATCTGCCCAGAAACGCTTATCGTATCCCAATTCTTCCAGCCGATGTAGCGTCGCAGCCCAGTAGATATCAGCCGATGTAAAACGTTTTCCACATAGCCATTGTTCCTTCACATCTGTAAAAAAAAAACTAACAGTGTTATGTTTTGTAGAAACTGTTGTCGAGGGCGCTGTATTAACAGGGCAGTTATCTGCGTTGTTCATATACTAGAGTAATAGCGTTTCTGTTCATGGCCAGTCCGTAAACCGTTTATTTTCACTGACATTTAATTTCACTATTTAATGATTTAAGCATATTCACTGTGTTTTGATTTCATAAATTTGTCTAGGAAACAATTAGTTTTATTGTTATTTTCATGTTCACGTACATTTATAATTAAGCGGATTTTACTTCAGCGAAAATAGCGAAATTTTCTCGTCTTCTATTTTT